TTAAATTAATCCCGAGATCCTTTTTTTTTCGGTTTTTTGGGGTGGCACTACTGCTGAATGCTGAATGTAGAACGAGGTGGCAAGTACGTTGTCGCTGAGGTGCGACAAAATATCGCAAATAAAAATTCCATTTTGTGTTTTGGAATTTTTTAATATTCAAATGAAGTCTCGCGCAAGGGAGACGCGAATATTTGTGCCTTTGAAGAGTTTTGCCGGGGTAAGTTTCATTTCCCTTCCGCATTGGAGTGCCTTAAAGTCAGCACTTTAAATGGAGAGGTCCTGAAGAGCTTTGGGATTTTCGAGGGACGATTTATCAAGCAGATGAGAAAAAAAGAGTGCTTCATTTTCACACCAGAAATCTGGCTAACCACCTTTTCAATTACAAAAACCCACTTAATTTAATAATTCAGTCGTTAGGCAAGCAGAATTCACAACTTCCTCAACTTGAGAATGCGATCAATGAAAGATGCTCGTAAAAAGTGGTCATAAAATTTTCCTTCAGCTTTTTTGTGTCTCGAAACCGAGTTAAGAGCAACTAAAAATGATTTTCCAATCACAAGCGCCAACTTAATCTGGCCTCACCTGGTCTCATTCCCATTCCCAATCCCATTACCATGCTCCAAACCGAGTTACGCCCTCCGGCAAATTGCGTGTGGCTTCCATCAGTTGAATGATTGATGGCCCAGACCAGTTTCTTCTTCTAAAAAAAAAACTATACAGGCAAAAATAACCAGCTGTTGCAAAAAACAAAAAAAGGTGATATTGCTCCTTTCACTTGGCAAAACGATGAGGAACAGCAGGCCTAATCTAGCTGATCGCCACCGATAGCCAGCCATTGATACCCTTTTCCTCTACTCTTTTTCCGGGACTCTTGGGCACCGCATGATATGATATGGCCGCCAGATAGCGGTGGCATTAGGCATTAGATAAGAAATCAGACGTATATAGAAGGGACCAAGTTATTTGTGGTTGCAACAGCAGCAGCAACATCATTATCATCATCGGTAGGTAGGAAGCATCCTCATTAATGGCTTAGTACCGAAGAGGGTTGCAACTTTTAGGGGTTGATCACCATTCGAATAGGAGGGTGATCCTACCGTTCGCAAACGAATTAATTACTAGATTTTTAAGTCTACTACCTCATCTACCAAATTACATACAAATGTGCCGAAACTTTGTCACTCAATGTATTTGAAGCTTAAAGCTAACAATTAACTCATAGAAGGGCTATAACAAGTTGTATACCCATTATAAACGTTAAAACTTGTATAAAAAGTATGGTTAAAGTACCTATTAAAGATGCGCTGCTTTAACAGCTAGCAGAAACCACTCGATAATCACAGAAAATCATTCGAGTCTTATTAAACTAGCCGTATCAATTCAGGACCCAAGCGATCAAGGTGGTTGTCAAGGCAGTCAGGACATTAGACTTTGTCCAAGCCTAATTGGTGGCACAATGAGCATTCCATCCGCTCCAATCCACTTCAATTGAAGGCAATTCACTGCCTAGTCCCCACACTCCTCAAAATATTTTCAGCAGAGACAGGGGAAAGAGAAAGAGACCTTCGACCACGAGCCAAGGATAAGGATGGCAAGGATCTGGAGTCTGGAGTCTAGAGTCTGGATCTGAACCTGAATCCGAGCTGGCTGTCAACTTCAAAAGAGCCTTTCAAATTGTATTTTGGGCAACACCTAACTACCTGACCCCGGGATGGCCTTTAAAGAGCGCGTCTAAAGCAGACAAATTGGCCAGATCTCATATCCCATATCCCATATACCATATCCCATAGCTCATATCCCATACACAAACGCACACACGTGCAGTTGCGGGCCGCCTTTGATTTTCTAAGCGAATTGTTTCAAGAAAACCACCAGAGAACGCTGCCCGAGATTGAGGTTGAGCCACGAATGTAGGTAGGATATGGGTTATCCGAAGGATGGGCTCTTTAAAGGACTCTCCCGTGTGTGTGAGTGTGTTTTGCGCCTCAATTAATTTGATTTGCGTCCGTTTTCGTGTCCGGAAATGGAACTCCACTTGAGTTTAGTTTGTCAACCCGTTCCGTTCCGTTCTGTTCAGTTCAGTTCAGTTCAGTTCCTCTCCTCGGACACAATTTTTGTTTTTTTCGCTTCGTCTGCTGCCGCTTCAAAAATCTCTGGGATGGGATATGCTGAGGACCGAGGACTGGGAATCCGTGGGTTGGGAGGCTGCTCGAGACCACTTCTCCATGGTTGAATGGGCACAGAAGATGGCCAACTATGCTTTGAACTATGGGGAAACTAATGGCAGCAGACATACATGTACTTCCCATCTTTTTCGCCTCTTCCCCTTCGCAGCTTTGAATTGGATGAGTTTCAGCACACCGGGGAAAAAATTCTAAAAGTCATCTGGCAACAACAAAAAAATACACGAAATTTACCAACAATATAAAACGTATGTATATTTATTTTTTAATTTGTTAAAAAGTATTTCAAGTCTTTAAGTTTGCTTTTTAATTTAAATACATTTTTTACTAGATCTGCTTTATTAAAAAATGCCCCGAGAAATGTATAAAAAATATCCATATATTATCATCTGGCAACAACAACAAAAATACAGGAAATTTACCAACAATATACAATTTATATATAATATTTTTTAATTTGTTAAGAAGTATATCTTTAAATTTAAATTTTTTACTAGATCTGCTATATAAAAATCTATATTTTACTTTTCTAGAGCTATACAATTTTTAGAGTTATAAAATTGTTTATTTAAAGTTCTTTTCTTCATTCTCTCCGTTTGGGATGGTATTTCTTTCTGTTTGTAAAGGCTTTTCTAGCTGAAAAGGAGCTGGGGTTGGCTAATTGGAGTAGAGAGTGTCCCAACTTGAGCTGCAATAGTTAAACGCATTAGGCGACACCTTCCTGCCGCCTGCAACCACCCTCCACCCTTCGTCCCATTGAGCCACCCCCTTTGACCCTTTGGTGGTTCATTATACCTTATTAGGGTGGCTCTTTGGGTCTTTGCGGCAACATGGCCGACTGACACGCACACACTCGCAACAGATACACACACACACACTCGAACAGAGGGCGTTTAAAAACGCGCGCGTTTTCTGCCGCCCGCTAAGTGCATTTCAATGTATGAAAAGCCGCTTCCGTTTCCGCAACGCTTTGGGGCACCTCATCCTCATCCCCAAATGAATCGCTGGCCATATATTTATATACGGCAGCTATATGGTAGAACAAAGGTGGGCCACAATTACGGAATTACTGAATTGCGGGTCTGAAGGTTGGAAGGTCTGAAGCTCTGAAGCTCTGAACTTCTGAAGGCCTGCGACGTTGTTGTTTTGACACGCAGCCAGCAAAATCACCCATATAAAATCACCCACCACCGCCCACATTGACCCCACTTTGACGACGACCGCAAAAAGTGTTAAATTATAGACTTTAATAACGCTCTCGGGTCCCGGCTTCTACATGGGGAACTATCCCCATGATAATATGATTATAACGCTTTTGAGAGCGCCAACAGATGGCGACACATTTAGGGGTTGTGGCTGTTTTGCTTTCCAGAAACTATCAAAGTTAAACAGTAAATTACATACTTATTTCTTGGAACTATACTCGAAGAACTATTATAATTCCAAGGAAAGAACTTTTAAATGCAAATAAATTGATACTATAAAGTGTTTATAGTCCCTGGTAAAAATAAACAATGAAATAATCGAATAAGCTAAGCTCTCGACTATATTTCTGTGAAATATTGGCTACAAGTGGCCAGCATATATTAGGAACCCCTTGATTAAATAAATACCGGACACCGATTCGAAATCGCTGGCCACACCACACGCAGCGTCGGCATTTTGGCGTTTGAACTAAGCGAAATTAATGGCCAACACAGGCTACTTAGGCGGAGGCCCACGCACACCGCCGGACACGAGACTCGGATTGTCCAATTGTCCGGTGGATCGGTGGTTCAGTGGATCGGTGGTTCGGGAGGAGGAGTAGCCCTTATCCGCCGCTTGTTCGCTGTGCGATTTATGACTCGGCATGCAAAACGAGCCGAGATATATAAAAAAAAAAGGAAGAGAAAAAGAAAAAGGAGGCGGAGACATGACACAAAACTGCAGAACCACATGGCGCCCGCCCAAGATCATAATGATCATGGCTCGTAGGAGAGAGAGCGAGACAGAGAGATATACGATATATAGTCACAACGGGTGGGCCCCACCGTCCGATCAATAAAAATGAAAATTTGCCCAGCAGTTGATGAAATTTACGCGATCGGCGTCGGCACAACTACAAAGTCAAAAGAAGCGCGCGAGAGCTCGGCCTTCAAATGAAAAGTCCACCGACAATTTGCCTGGCGCCCCTTTTTCCAAACCCCCCTTTACTTTATTTTACGTCCCATCCAGAATCGAGAATCCAGAGTCCCCGATCCCGAGGGAGCTTATCCATCCGCTTCATGCGTGTGAGAAGTTTTAGATAAGCCAACTATACACTTCAAAGTGCAAACTCCGAAGGAAAGCGAGTCAACCAGTCGGATGCCATGCAAATTCACATTGATAAGCGGGAGAGAAGAAAACGGAGATGGGGTAACTGGCGGGGTTGATATTTGAAGTGCCGAGTGTTAGGCGCAGGCTCTTTGATATGGGGCCTAGATAAAGTTCGCTTTGATGTGCTGCAGTTCCGTTGAATCTTTATTTTTTTCCCCTTCAAGCTTCATTGAATGAGGTTATTACTTTGTGAAACAGGAAGAAAAAAACCATAATAACTTGAAAGGAGATCGATTAACCTAGAGTATGCCCCACGTTGGGCGCCAAAATCTATCATTTCACGAAAAATACTGCGTAATATATATTTTAAAATCTCTACTCATAGCTAAATAAAATAATCCAATGGCCTGTAGAATTCCTTGGTATCGCTGAATTGTGGGTTTTGTTTTTGTTGTAGATCTGTGTTTTTTTTTTTTTTGGGTGTAGCTTAAATAACTAATGCGGTAAACAAAGAAGACGTACAGTACTTACAAATCCATGTTTATCACTAATATTGTTGGTCAATTTTAATTTGTGAAATGAAACAACTTTCTGCATCCATTGCTCACCCGTTGTGGGCGAATCTGGATGGATATACATGCGTTTTGGCATCTCGGGGTCCGCTTTCCCAGCCACCATCCAGCGACTGTAATTGCAATTGTTATTTTTAATATCGCAGCCCATCTTCTTCTTCTTATTCTTGCTTAAGACTCACCTATTATGAAATTTATAACGATAATCGTCCGCCGCCACGATGTCCAGTAGCAAGATGTATTTAGCCTTGGCGTCCAGTCCCGAAACACGAAATTTCATTTGCGGAAACATTTGTCTGCAGGGGAGAGAGCGAAAAAGAACGAAATGAGGGATTAGAGATGGGTGTGCTTATATAGTACAGGGGGTATAGTCATTTTCCCCGGCTAATCAAATAAAACATTAATCAGTGCGGCTTATAAAGCCCAAGACCCATGACCACGTTCTGGTTCTCAGGGGCCCACCTTCGGGGCCAAGATCCATCTATATCCACGTCCAGTCGAGGCATGCTAACCACAGTCGCACTCGCACTGGCACTGGCACAATCATCATCATCATCATTATCAGATTCGGACTACGAGTTGGCCAAAAGCAAACAAAAGCAAACAGAAAGCCCGCAGACCAGACCCAGTCGGGCTATCAAGTGGCGCCAAGCCACAAATTGTTTCGGCTCGACTCGGAGCTCCAAACTCCCCGCCATTCGGATTCAAATTGGCCTAAAAAGAGAGGCTGAGGCTGCGGCTCAAGCAGAGTGCCAGGTTCCTCTTGGCCAGGTTGATTAGCCATGTTGGTGGCAATGTGCAAACTCGAAAATTACATGGCCCGGCCAAAAGGGGGAACACACAGGCAGGCGATTCCGATGCGATGCGATGTCGTTGTCCCTCGGAACAACCGAACAACTGAGCAGCCCAACAACCCAGCCATCCCAACCATCCCATCCACCCAAAAAGGAACCCGTGGATGGACCAAGAGGTCCGAGAGGCATCATCTCTGGCCAGAGGAGATCTCGCCCGGCACACACACGGGCATAAATATGAAAATTATAACTTTAAGTAGCAATCACTCAATCGCTGATCGGGTTCAGGTTCAGCACGGATGCACTGAGCGAAAAAGGGGCTCATTCTGTGCATTTTCTTTTATGTTCTAAATTTCCTTATAATTCCCAAGTGCTTTTTTGGGTAAGCTCTTCTGTTGATTAAACCTATGCCTATGAAACTCAGGACTGTAGATTGTAATTGTCAAAGCTAAAGTTTCTATAGATCGTGGTGATCTTTAAAGCTTAAATTCTTTATAGATTTTTTTTACAGTGTTCATCTGAGGTTGGGACTCTCGGAGCGAGAGCGCCTCATGAATCAAATTTAACGAACGTCTTGTTCATGTTCACAGATCATCATCAGCTGCGACTGCATTTTGATAAAAACCAACAAACATCGCAGGGGTATGGTTGGGTAAGGGGGCGGAGGGGGGAGATACCATACCAGAGGCGTGGAAGGAGGGCTAACAAGCTGAGTGATGTCTGACTGACTGGACGGGACTGAAGACTCGAAGACTGAGGACCGAAGACGGAGGACCGAACAGAACCGATGGAGGAGGGCGAGCCCCGAACCGAGGATGTTTCTATTTGGAGGAGAGCGCACCCCCTTTTCAAGGTGCAGGGGTGGCGAAGGGAGTCTGCCTGCCTTTTTCGACTGCAAATTATTTTTTATTTGCCAGGAACGAAGGCACGTCTGTCTGCCTTGCCTTGCTTTTGGCTTGGACTCTTTTTCTTTTTTTTTCTCGCTGCCTGGGCTTTTGTTTTTTCGAGAGAGTGTGTGTGTGTGTGTGTTGTCTTAACTGAATAGCTCGTTAACATTATTGAGCACTTGGCGCCAGTTGTTGGCAGCTTGTTATGGCCAGAGACCGGGGACCAGGCCAAGACCAGAGACATGGCCCCAAGCGAGGCCGACTTTGGAGCCAGTTTCCTGGGCCCACACCACACGCCGTATTTCTTCTGCTTTTTTTTTTTTTTGCTCCTCTTGGATTGAAAAGCCTGGCTTGCTCGACAACAAAACGATTTGCTCTCGTTTGTGTTGGTTCCACAGGCTCGGCTTTTGGGCTTTTGGGCTCTGCTGAGACGCCAGACATCAGACTTCTGGCCAAAAACGACCGAGACCGAAACCGAGATTCAGGTTCGTGCAAATCGTTACGTGTAAAACTTGCACCTTTTGACCAGAGCACCCAGCGTCCGTCGTTGTTTGTTTTTGCCACACACATTTTAACGGAGAGCTAATTCAATTTCCCCCTCAGCCAAAAGTGTTGAAGGCAGTTGGCCACGCAAAACGGCCAAGGAGCCCATGAGCCCATAATTAAGCTTAATTAAGGCTCAGTGCGTTTTCCTTTCCTTTGCCCTTTTCCTTATTTATTTTTTCTTGTGTGCGAGTGTTAAGGTGTCGCTCAGTTGTCCTTAGCCTCGTCAGGCCCACATAGGGGTTAATGGCTAATCAATTAGCCCGGCCCGAAAATAAAATGCTCAACGATTGAGTTGTAATTGGGTTGGGCTCGAGAAAAAAAAGGGAGAAGGATGATAAAACTGGGAGCAAAGTTGGGGAAACAGAATGAGGTCAGCAAAATATTGTCAAAATAAATAGTACATTTAATTTTAAAGAATTATGATGCACCTGGCGTTTTGTAAGGCAAACAATTCAGATAAAAATGCAGCCCTCTACAAAATCATAATCACACAATCTCTTCAAGAAAACAACTCAAATATATGCATGTATATTTTAATCCCGACAATGTGTGTAAATTGATAAGCGCCATTGAAGTCTGGCAAACAACTAGCCAAGTGTATATGAAGCACACATTAAAATACCCATCAAAATGTACACAAAAAGCACACTTAATAATGTGTTCATTAACACTCGAATAAAACGCACTTCATACATAATCAATTTAGTGGCTTAGCAGGAAAAAAAGAAAAAAAACTGCAACTGAAACTGAGACAAAGTGCAAAAACTCACTGCGAATAAATTTATTATTGCTATTATTTGTTAAAAATACAAATAGATCAATTAGGGATTTGTATGGATTGTTTTGAGATCCGTACTAAACTAAACCCCTCTCATCCCTTGAAAAAAGTAAAAAATAAAAGGAAATGTGGTATTCAAAAGGTATGCAACATTCAATTTAGTGACCCCTCAGCACTTATCTAAATCTTGACTGCCTGCGGTGGCCATGTAATCGATTAGCGATGCCATCAGCGGATCCGCAGGTGACATCTGTGTATCCTGTGTGTCCTGTGTCCTGTGTCCCGAGTCCTGACCACTTCTCTCTACCCTCCTGGCGTCTATTAGCGCACCTGTGCCTTTGCCCCTGCCTCGATGGCAGGTGAGAGGTGAGGCAACCAGCCTGCCTTAGAAGCGTCAATGCATTATCTGATAGTCAATCAAACAGCAGCCCAAAAGTCAGAGAAGAAGAGGCTGCACTGGAGACAAACAGAAGGAGGAACCGAGAGCCGAAAATAAATAAGAGTTTTTGGCTTGCAAAACGCATTCGTGGGCCTCTTTTTGTTCACCTTTTTTTCGGTTTGTCAACAAGGCGCGGGGATTAAAGTAGCACCTGCAGAGTGGCCCAAAGGGAACCGAAATTATTGGTAGTGGTGGTGGGGAAAACCTCGAGGCCCGGGGCCCGAGTTATAGGGGCCGGGGACTCGTTGACAGTTTGGCTTTGTGACAACAAAATTGCTGTCGTTCTTTTCTCTGTTTTTTTTTTTTGGAGTGCCTCCTTAATCTTTGTCAACACATATTGCCAATGGATTTCCGATAACCAGAAGAGCCAGACGATCCAGAAGGGGTGCATATTCAACATCATCTTACATCATTTGACTAGAGAACATCTGTCCCTTCGTCCGGTTGATTTATTTATTTGGCCACTTTTTGCATTGCATTTAATTTGAATTTTATTGAATGACAATTGCATGCAAATTCCCTGCAAAAAGGAGGGTTTATTTTTTGCATTTTACAGATGTACATCGTTTGGGTATTTGACAAATTTGTGAGCGCCATTCGAGAAGAGAGAAAAATAAGTGGGGAGAGTGGCCAAGTCAGTCAAGTCAAACAAGGACCAAAAGGCAGCTGCATCATAAACGTTAATTACCCACACACAAGGAAGGATCGGGGCAAATTAGTTAAACCAATAAACTGACAGGCCCAGACTGACTGACCGACCAAGTGGCCGGGCCGTATATCAAGTCTATATAATAATAAAACAATTTATGAACGCATAACCACGGCCCCAAGTCCTCGTAAACACGCTGCCCGTTTGTTTTAGCCTGTCAGTTAGTGGTAACGCCCACTCCCGCCGTCTCGTTTTGGCCCGAAATGAATGGCCATGTCATTAAGATCCGAGAGGCCCCGAAACCCCGAAACAGGATCACTGGGAAAGAAGACCGCAGATACAGGGGATAAAATTCTAAAATATATATACGTAAAGAGTTTAGAGAGTTTATGGTTTAGAAGGGAAGGGAAAGAAAGGGATAGTCTTCCTATCGCCTGGATTCCTTATCGATCCACCCAGATTGACCCTGACCATACATAAATCTGGCGCAATGAATAAATCAAATGTGGGAAATCGGGTGTAATTACAATTTGATCGCTTCATTTTGGGAGAGCGTGAAACGAGGGAAGCTAATCGTGATCTCGAGCAAAGCTAAACGAATTTGAAATGCCCTAAAAAATTATCTGAGCGAAAAGTTTACGACATAAAAATTTAAAACAAAAACCGAAATTTGGTAATTCTGTCTAAGTTAAATTAACAAAATAAAAACAAGATATATTTCAAAAAATAATAATACACCGAAAGAAAGGGTATAGAACTCGCTTTCTTATCGAGAGGAAAGCGATTAGATTTGTGGCGCTGTCATCGCGACTACTTTTCTGGCCTGATAAGGTGCCATATTTTTTGGGGAGAAATCGAAAATATAAAATAAAAACATGGCTGAACCCGTTAACCTTGTCAACGATTAGAATTCTCGCAGTCGCCGCCGCCTCTCAATCTTTTTTACCCCCCTATTTTTCGCTGTTGTTCAACTTAATTGTTATGAATTGAAATGCAGTTGTCACGCAGATAAGCACAAAAGGAATGGAGAGACAAGGGTTCAGGGGTCGCGGGTTCAGGCTCTGAAAACTCGGATTCGAGGCGACTCAGCGACTCTGCGACTTTGGGTGTTGATTTATGTTGTCTGCGGATGGGGCACATAAAAAACAACCTCAACAAGTGGCGTTCCGACAAGTGCAGCAAAAACAACACTTTCGAATTATG